ACTGTAGAATATACCGACACTGTACTCTTCCTAGGTGCGTTTCGCATCAGTTCGTGTGCGACTACGAAAAGGACTGTCCTAACAATTTCGACGAGAAAAACTGCCGTAAGAGACTTTGCTTTCTGCTTTGCGATATTCGAAGGTAATCAATCACCTTGAGTCAAACATCAACCGCGCTTGAACGTCTTGAATCTGACACCTGCTAAAATTCGTACTGATTCGATGACGATGCCATACTTCAAAATAAGTCGTGCTCCAGATCACAGTCCTCCTTCCTTAATTTCTTCTGCTTCCTGACACGTTTTCTAGCAGGAGTCCGCCAATCGAGTCAACTACCTCCACGTCGTTTGGTCACTGTTCAGACCTTCTTTCGCTCCTCGCAGTTTCATGTCGTTCTTGACGACATCGAGCCACCGTCATTGCGGTATGGGTCTTCCCTTTTTATTTCCTTGCCTCTATCAGTGATTAGATCACATTTCCAACGTACTGATTGGGTACTGACCGAGCCTGCCTTCGATTAGCCTTTTTGAAACTGGGGCGACCTCTAGTGTGCCTCTTACGAAACTGTCTCGGACTTGGTCCTTTCTTCTGACACCATACATTTATCGGAGCATTTGCATTTCTCCCGAGTTCAGCTGTTGCCTGTATCCTATGCAAAGAAGCACTGATCTTTCTATCCTTCTGTCCACATTGTCGCACAGCACTCCATTCACTTCTGTTCATTCGAACCAAACTTTTTTTCGATCGGTTTCTCATCCCGCTGTCGATTTCTGCGTTGTCTTACAGGATGGAACAAACGTAGTTGAATTCTTAAGTGCGAGAGAAAACGCTACTTGCAACTTTCACTGGTTTGATGGCTTTCGATCGGTTCTCCCCTCTTGGCACCTGCAGTTCTGTCTCCCGTTCCTTGTCTTTCCTTTGTTTGTAACGGAAATCAAAATCATTACTCTACTTTCACCTTCAGCGATACAAAATATGGTCATCATTAGCCTTTACTCATCTGCGGGATTCTGGATGAAAACCTCTCCAAGATTTCGTTATAAAATTTGGTCTCGTGCCTTTTGCCATGATGTACTGACAAATTTGCTTAGAAACTACTGAAAACGAAAGAGACTAACGGCGCCCTCTTTTGATAAGCGCAGAATGCCTGAAAAGAGCGAGTTGACCAGGAGAATCAAAACTAAATTACATCTAAATCTGCTATTTTACAGTACAGCACCTATGAACAATTCTTTTATCTGTACCTCTTGAGATGATTCCACAGTATGCAACGACTTTATTATGGGTCTTTCAGGCATGCTACGTAATTTCCCATGAAAATGGATTCATTTCAGTGTGAAGCGTTAGGGTCAGGATTGTTAAATGACATTTTTTCGAAATAATCCCCTTGAAAATTTTGACCACTGCTCAAAATCAAAATATCTCTCAAGATCCACATGCATGTGGCACGAAGCCCCACGGCGTGATTTATTTACGATTTAATTTAAGTCGAACTCCGGCTCACATCAACATTCACAAAATGCTCAATGTTATCCACATATGCTATGATAAATGTTTTTAAATCGTCGAATAAAATTCCTTTATCAAAGAAGAGAATGCGGATTCCTTTAGTTCATTAAACTGAACAAATGTCCTTGTCATGACTGTTCCATTTGCTTTCATCTTGCACAGCAATTCTTGAATTTCCTTCCCACTTATCAGTAGATATTTTCTGAATCTTGTTTCATGCTAAACGATGCTTCTGGAAGGCGAAGGCACGTTTTTCCGGTCTGATGCAAACAACACAACTGAATATACCTATGGAAAACTACTGTCGAAATATTGCTTCTTCAAAGCTGAAAATCTATGAGTTTGATTGCAAAGAAAGGAATGAAGTAGATTCAATAAATAATAAATGACGCTTCAGTGGTTCGAAACACAAAGAATAAGGCGAATGACAGTTCTACTAGAATTGCCGACCTCTCATTCAGATTACAACAATAATTATCAGATAAAATAGAGTAAGAGTTGAAGAAAACAGCTTCAGGTAACATTTATGGCAATTAAATTAAATTGCGACGAATGAATGTAATAATTTGTGTTAGAATTTGACAATTGTTTTAGAATGTTTGAGGGGGTGGGGTGGGGTTAAATGTATTGGATTGTAAACGTCATTTTGAAGAAACGACATCTTTCAACGAACGGTTCTGCTCGTATAAGACAATTCGCTAGATAGGCGACAACTGCTGTAATACGATGAAATAAAACAGTGTCTTTCTAGACAAAGGAAGTACCATATGCTGTGTGTATCATGCTTTTCTGATAAACAGGTTCCAAAGACTGCCCCAATCCTTAGAACTCAGTGAGGTGAAAATACTACCCGTAAATAATCACCAATGTGTTATGCTTACTAGTGGTTAGCCTATTGTTTAATTCATTTCCTAAATTAAGTTTTAATAATGTAACGAATAATTCAACTTCATGTATTTAGCTAACTGGGTGGAACGGTTCACGGCGGCGGGAAATCAGGTACTTACCAGTTACTCTGAAATCTTGACCTTCATTCCAAACGTGCAAAATGTAATGGAATAATTCTGAGTTGGCCGTCTGTTCATGCCTATCGTTGCTTTACGTACTTCAGTGTGCGAAGCGTTGCTGGGAGTCGACCAGATTCGATTGCGCGTCGTTCAGCTACAAGGCCAATGAAAAAACCTGTCTGCTGAGCAACGTGGACAGAAGCACCGGAGCCACGTTCGACCCGGATGCCATTGGCGAATACTACGAAAAACTGAACGCCAAACCGGAGGCGCACGAGGGTTTGTAGGCGACACCGCCTCTCAGGTCTCATTGGTCGGTCGTTCGTAAGTCGGCATTGCATTTCAGACAAATTCGACGTTCGACTGGTCGACGGTAAGTTCAAATGGGAGGGCAAGATCGAGGTGTTTCATGGCGGCAAATGGGGCTCGGTTTGCGACGACGGCTGGAACATCAACGCAGCCAGCGTGGTTTGCCGTCAGCTCGGATATCCGTGAGTGTTGTTGCGCTGTTTTCAGTTACATGCCAAACAACGAACGATATCCCGCTTTAAAATAACAGGGATGTGATCGAAAATTCTAGACGACAAGCGACTCTGTTCGGATTTTGTTGAGAATCAACCGTCAATTGTTGCATGATGTTGCTCTTACGATGTACAGCAAATCTGATTGTTTTCAGGCAGGCACTCAGGACTTGGATTGGTCAACCATCGGAGCCTGTGTACATGATGGACGACATCAAATGCACTGGAAAAGAACGCTATCTCAACGAATGTGCTTTCGGTGGCTGGATGAAGAGCAACTGTGGACCGAACGAAGCAGCCGGAATACAGTGTGCCCTGAAGGAGCAAAGTAAGCTGTGCGACACTTTCCCTAAGAACCACTGGCGTTGTTTCGGCCTTAGCCCTTTCAACTATGTTGTAGTGTTGAAAGCTATTAAGCCCATTTTTAAATTCAGAGACGAATAGCTCAGAGGGATATGCAAATGAATTAACAACTTACGTAAAGAGGTCCGCGGTATGACGTAGTTGCAAAATCTGGCTTTATGACCTGCACACACATGCTGAATGGCAACATGGGTGTAAATCGTGGGGTCTGCTGTTTATCATAAATTATAAAGACATAAAAATTCTTTATCCCTTGAACTTTGGGATCACACGTCCTAGAACAGTCTGCAATGACGCGCATTATACACCCAGAGAATGGTGTAAATGATTTTTCAAGCTGTTGTGGTTGTGAGACGGTCATTTTTAGAGCTGGCGATGACAGTTGTTTTCAAAGGGAATATAACGAACCAGTGACGCCATAGGATTTCGATTTCAACTTCAACAACTTCTATGTTCAACAGTATACTTCTTTGGGCTTACGTTATATATTTAAGTTATCACAATAAACTGCACGGCAGCCTTAAGGAACTTTCTTATCATACAGTACTGCTGTGTCTTTCTCTCATCGTACAGCCACACCAACACCCTATACCCACTCTGGAATTTGTACGTCAGCGACATGCCACCAGTCTCCTAACTGACTGCACTGAAGAAACGTCAGGCACACTCCTTGTTCAAAGATATTAGCACCTCATACATTCGTTCATGTGATCCGAACCTGGCACCTCCAGAGTTCAAAGACCATCTAATGCCAATGAGTCGAGGTGTTTTAACTGATCGATTCAATGATTCGAAAAGCAACGCAAAGTATGATGTCAGAATTTTATCATTTAATTAACTTTTGTCCGAACGACATTGGCGATCAGCAGTTGTTTTCCCTATGCACTTCAATGCTGTAAAATAAGTACCTTCCTCTTCTATACGTCAACAATTATGAACTGCTAATACACAGGCTTACTGAAGTATTACTGTAGTACTACCGTACAGAAGGATTTGTACTGAGATCCTGAAAATGCATGCTAAAAGTGGGCCTAGATGATAATCATGTGGTTACATGACTCGATAGATGATAGCGTGGTCAATATAAGTAACTGCTACGGCTTTGGCTACGGTAACCTTTGGCTGCAATGTTTTGGCGTTCGTTGGGGTCGCGTAAAGGTGACTTAAATGTACAACCACTTATGTTTGATATTCGGTTTAAGAAAGTTGATATCTATACATATTGGATAATAAAACCATTGTTTTTCCCACCTCATTTTAATTAAGTAAGTCTACTGGAAAACTCATTTTTTTCTACCTTCGTCTATATGTGGTCAAGTTTTGAGTCCTCCTGATGAGGTTAACCGGATTCTTTGCAGTATCTTGCCCTCTTCTCCTTGGTCATATGTATGATATTTAATAAATTTACGTTTACACCTGATTTGCAGTAGAAGCCATCAGACAGGTCAAAAAAAATTGCAGCAGGAAGGCGCACGCACCTGGAAGTATGGCCATACGTCTTGCACTCCTCAGCAGTACCAAACCAAGACATCAAACTGACCATATTATGTTTCACGTATTTCAACGCTAACTACAGTAATTGTATTTGGCAAGATAAACATTCTCAACGTTTCACATTCAGAAAATAAATGCTTACTCGTTCTTGCACCCCGTGGCAACCTTTAAACGCCATGTCAATTCCTATAAGATTTTACTATCTCGCAAAAGGTGTTCCTGGATGCCACCTTCCACCTCGTTTTGCCTTGGGCATTCGTTACACAAAGCATAATTATGCTTTTTAAATAGCCCCAGAAACTCCCCTGCTGCGTTCATTATTACAGTAGCCTACATGCGCAGTTAGAACAGAAGCCATGCATCAAAACACCAATATTTAATGTTCGCTTTTCAGACTGTTATCCAAAACAATTCAAGTGTGAAAACGACCATTGCATCGACTTCAAGTGGATCTGCGATGGAGAGGACGACTGTGGAGACGCATCGGATGAAATCGCGTCCAAGTGCAATCGTATGTATCATTAAAATCACGTAACAGCCGCCCATGATCTTCGATTGTTGTAGAGTCGGCGCAAATACGTTTGGCGGATGGACCAAACCCAAATACTGGCCGAGTTGAGGTGTACTTTTACGATATGTGGGGGACAGTATGTGACAAGGGCTTTACGGTTAAAGATGCAAAGGTCATATGTCGAATGATGGGCAAAGGGTGAGCGGCAGAGTTTAATCATAGCGACGTTGAAGTAGGTTTTATAGTGGCAACCCGCAAGTGTTCCCTGGTGGTCAGTACCCTGGAGGAAACGGCCCAATCTGGCTGACTGGCATACGGTGCAACGGTGAAGAAGCTTCTGTTCAGACTTGTCACACCGGACGGTAATATAAATGGTTGGCCGCATTCCTCCTGATCATATCGTGTTGAAGGTGGGGACAAAGCGACTGCACTCACGATCGGGACGTGGCCATTGCCTGCTCAGACGAAAAGCTGCCTGTCACTACAGTAGACCTGAATATTGATGGCAAGACTCTGAAGGCTTAAACGTCAGCTTTGTAAACTGATTATGCGTTCTTTAGGGGGCTGCGGACAGCGGTTCTTCGCTGAGAATCCGAAGGAGCCGAACAAGGCGTACTTGGCTCGGGTGGTGGGCGGCTTTGAGGCAAAACACGGCGCCTATCCCTGGACAGCGGCCATTCAGCTGAAGCCCGATCGGCATCACTGTGGCGCTTCGATCATCACGCACTATCACCTGGTTTGCGCCGCTCATTGTTTCGAGTAAGTTTGATGCTCAGGTGAATGCGGCGTTTGACGCTCGAAGTGTCTAGAAACGAGCCGGATATGAATATGTACAAGGTGATCGTTGGCGACTGGGATAGTCAAGCTCAAGACGGCACAGAACAGACGTTCGATGTCGAATACGTTTCCTTTGTTTCCGGATACCAAAGTGAGTTGACATTTCACTGTTTTCTTAGTGAGGCTTTTAGCGATCACCTTTGATCAAATTGAGTTAAAAAGTTACCATTTAGAAATAGGGCAATATACTCTCTTAAACTTACCCATGGCCATGAATCGTGATTATTACGCCAAACAGTGCTCGTTGAGTACAAGCGGCAGAAACGAGTTTTAAGTACGTTATAATTTTTCTGATTCTGGGCGCGATGGTGAAATTTCACACGTTTTCTATACACATACTGTAATAGGTCAGGGCAGCAATGACACGCAGACTTACACAAAAATGCATAGATTCACATCAGACTTTGACCACCATATACTTAAGTTTCAATTTTAGAGTTTGATTTCTACCCTCATTTCGTCATTGCAGATTTTCTCACTAAGTTCGAGATAGCATCAGAGTTTTCAAATATCATCACAGAGAGCAGGTATTCGTTGCACAAACGATGTTTCATCGCTGAAATATGTAGGCTCTCCATTGTTAAAATGTCCATCGAACTTTGACCGGCCTTGGTCGATTACGGACATATTCGCTTGAATGGAGGAGCGTCCTTCAGAAAGGGCGTCTAGTGCAATGTCCGCCTGAGGGGAACTGCAGATAAGTCTTCTTTAACCTGGGTATTCAGTTTTTGGTATGATATCTTATGGCAACCTTCAAACAGAACGCTTCATCCGGCCTGCTCTTTGTATACTTTTTGAACAGAGACATCCATGAGCTCATACCGGTTTCATAACTGACCTCAAACTTAATTCTTGTGAAGTATCTTTTGAGGATTAAAAAGCGCTGTAGGCGTGTTCAGACACGACTTCATCAAGTCGCAATTGGAGTACAATAATTCATTATTTAATATCGTGTTTGAATGCTTATTATTTAAGAATACCTGGTAAAGACGTTAAATTTTGGCGTCAGAGGAAGGTTGGAGATGTTGCATATTTTCTTCACATGTTTTTGCAGAAATAAGCTCTCTTCGAAAGACTGCTGCCGTAATATGGTAGACAGTGAAATACGGTCAGCTATGAGCCGATTCTCTGTCACGCAAGGGGGAGCATCACAACTGCGAAGGTCTGTTCTAGACATTATGCGATACTATTTTATGGAACACTTGACGCTGTCGCCCCCTGCAATCCAGATTCCAGATAATTGAGTTTGTCCGCTTGGGGAGAAGCGGAACGGCTGGAAAGAGCTTTGCAAGCCACGGACTTGGCGACCCGAAAGAAAAGCGGACTTGGTCAATTAGTGAAGGGATCATAATCGAATAACAGACAAGGTACGTGCCATTCCAACAGGTCAACGATTGTCTCAATTACTACTCAGACGAAACAAGCTGTTTATGCCATTGAAGGTTTCTTGCATATGAAGTCACCAAATGCACATTAACTCAGTAGCTACCCTGAATGAATCGCAAAGCTATACATTGAACACAGTCCAATGCCCTGACCTCATCCATGAACCAATTCCAAAATGCCCATTCACAAGTAGGAGAAATGGCCACAACTACTGTTAATACTATAGTATTGTATTATATTACATTTCTGTCATTGTTTAGTTACTGTATGAAATGACTTGCCGTGTATTTTTCAAATTGAATGAGAGGATATATGACCAAGAAGAAGAATTGTCAATGGGATTTCCCGTCATTCGTTTTCGTGCAACTTAAGGCATTTCTGTATATCCTTTATAAGCGATATTTTGCGCATTGATTGTCAGGTTTCTGCACGCTCTTGTTTAATTCAACGTACGAGACCCAAGAGGCGTGCAACCTTATTCTTTGAAACAGCAACCGAAAACCACAAAATCTCTAGGGTATAAACCGAAACTTCACTTGTGAGTTATTCAGTGGTTGATTTATCACCCATAAGCTAGTAAGTTTTTTTGTGATAAAAAATATCTTATCCCGTTATTTATCACTGGACTGGCAGCAGTTGTAGTCGAAGTTTATTGATAACGGATGTTTTAAGGACATTACATGGTTTTGTGATATCAGACGTGCCAGAAACCTTAACAATGCTGAATGTGAACGGAAACTGGCTACTCACACAACCGTTAACTTCAACTTTGTATGTGTGAATAAGGATCGAATTCAGATTTGCTTGTCAGGCTTTTGTTAGCCACTTTTGTCTATTAACATCAAATGATTATTATCGAATGTACTTAAGATATACTCAAAAACGACATTTCGGTGGTCAAACTTAAACCAAAGGACGGACATGGAATAGAGTTTACGAAATATGTCCAGCCGATATGCCTGCCAGACAAAAGCGTCGAATACACGCCCGGAATGAAGTGCCTCATAGATGGCTGGGGCACAATGGGAAGAGGTAGAACAGCGATGTTTGGCTTTGGTTTGTCAAGTTTGAAACTAGAAATATTACAGAATATCCAAGAAGGCTTCAGGCGGCAACGATACCCATTTTGGATGATAAAACGTGCCGAGCTCCGGACGTCTACGGAAAGATAATGAGCGACACGGCGATCTGTGCCGGTTACATGGAAGGCCACGTCGATTCATGCCAAGGCGACTCTGGAGGCCCACTGGCGTGCTTAATCAACGGTAAACGATTTTTCCGTTTTTTAAAAAATATACCATATGTTACTGACGAAATGAGTGCACTATTCCTTTGACTGATTTTTCCATTTTCTATATTCTCTTCTTTTAACAAATTAACAAACCGACGCTTCATTTCCGTCTAAGCATTTTGTACCGACGAATAGCATATTTACTTATTTTAGGAAGGTATACCTTGATGGGGGTAATCAGCTGGGGGGACGGATGCGGAAACAGGAATCGACCCGGTGTTTACACGAAAGTAAAAGACTTCGTCGAATGGATTCAAAATCAACTTATGTGATTTATGAACAAAACGACTGGAATGAAAAAAAAATAATTGTTATGCTTAACGCGATGGAAATGTCTTGCCAAATGTAAATTGCAGTGTCAATAAACGGTTTTGCTGTCGGTCTGTGCATAAGGTGTTGTCAAGCTGAGTTAATAGTCCATTTTAATATTTAGCACAAGGTGAAAAGCACATGGATTCGCATAAATAACAATTTTGACCAATAACACTTATTTATGAATGGCAGTTTTTATGTGATCAGTCTCACCAAACAACAGACCCTCAGAAATTATACTTTACCTGACTCTTCGCGACGTTCAGAAAATCGTGAGCCAGTTAAATTCAGTGCAGAAACCCGTGTTCGAAGCAGGGACAATTGCTGGATTCGTTTCTTCAAACGATTGTTTTTCACGTGTAATGAAAAGTCATTCTATTGTCCAGCTATGTGATATACCTTACGGAATTCCTCTCAGTTCCTTAAAATGGAACTAGAACAATTTTCCTCCACTTCCAATAGAAACACTTTAAAAGTGACAATATTATTTGCCTGATGGCCGTAATATCTATATATAGAGTCACTGGGCATTGGGTATGGACAGACAGGTCTAGAAACTGCGGTTAACAGAAAAGACGGGACTTTTGCAACAGTCCATCAGGTAGTTTCATGACCAGTTTAGGATTCAAGTAGCCGCGTTTGGAATTACTTACAATGCTCTAATTATGTTTATTTATTTTATTACGTCCATTTCCCATGTTTACGTTGTCACTGGTTTAATCACCAGAAAAAAGTGCTTTACAAGAAAGCGATTCATTAGTGAGTCACTCAGTTTGTCAATGTCGGTTGTTTCGACAGTTCCAGCAGGACAAAAAACGTGAGGAAAATTCCTGACAATCAATAACTCTTGTGATTGAGGAAAATGCAGCAATGTACTCAAACTGTGATGCTTGATGATACCAAAAGATAGCTGCTGCAGGAGTTCAGTGGCGTGGTAGTATCAACCTATTGTGAAATCAGCTACAAAAGATCTTCAGGCACAAATTTTTAAAGGCATAAAGACGGGAACGTATTTTTATGAGAGTACCGCTAGTGTTATTCAATGTGCACTATCATCATCGACGTGTGATTGTTGTCCAAGTAAAGAACTTTTCAGTAAATTTTCTTTGTACCTTTGACGATTATTTCCAAAGTCTAGTAGTTTTATAATAGTCTTCGAATTTCAATCATTTGTGCTGCTAAATCAACACTAATTTCAAGTAACGCCATATTAAATGCTATTTCGAATTTATACTGATATATTTGGTGTCACTTTAACTCTGCTCGTTTTAAACTGAAATAAACACTCTGGGATCACAGATATATATATTTTTTATTGTGCTGATGCCTCCAGCTGCAAAATCAGGATATCTACAGTTTTCGAAATAGCAGACCCGTTTAGAATGACTCTCTTCTCTCTCGGCCATTTGTTATCAATGTAGACGTGGGGATTAAGAAAGGAATGTTGGTCGTGTCGGACAAGGTGATCTAGCAAAACTATTCACTCCAGCCCAACAGCTTTACGCGTGGGAGTCGAAAGATGACTGACGTAAACCGAGAGGGCGGCATGCAAAATGGAGGAATAAGGCAGAGGTCAATTTCGTCCCAGAGAGGAACGGTTTCTTCTGTGATGCAGTAACCGGTGTCCTGTAGCAAACGCATTGAAAAATTATACGAACAAAACTATTGTCGAGAGACGGTCTGCTATGCAAATGACTAAATATGAAGATCACAGCAAACAACAATTATTATTTTTTAAAAACTGATAGCCAAAACGTTTGATCTTCGAAAGATTAATTTTCGAAAGTTTGAGGACAGCTGTGCCAGAGTCAGAAAGCTCGTATCAGGTTGAATTGCTTTCTCACTTCTTGTCTGCCGCTCCGTGCGCTGGTCTCCGGCAATTGTGTACGCTAAGCAATCTACTTTGTAACCAGGTTCAGGGATATCTATTCTGCGCCCACTGCTGATACTGTAATTGTTCTGTCGTTAATATTTCTAACTATGCCAAATAAGCGCAATAGCAAAAAAATTTTTCGTAATAGATTTGTTACCCACCCACCCTTACTGAACTCCAGCAGGGTAGAAGAAATGGTCAGAATTTTGTTTAACCCTAATGCTGCTACACGTGTGATAGTCACACATGCTGCTAATAAAACATCTGCCATCAATATCCTTTGAGGTCAAAACAATCATTCAGCATGATAACTGCGCAGTTCTGCTTTGCATGCCCTAAAATGAGGTAGTCCTCCGTTGCCACTGCTGTACTTTCATTGCTGATTTTTCGAACTAGCCAAGCGCAGTGACTCTTCAGTCTTCCTCTTGCGCATCGAAAGGAGCCACATTCTGCCTCAGCACTGTTCAATTGCCAGTGCAGATGCATTCATTTTTTATGTTCCGTCAAAGGCGGTAGTTTCGAACGCAGTTTTCAAGCAAGCGAATTGGAAATCGTTGGCCACTTGAAACCTGAGAAGTCAGTTTTTGTTGGTGCAGGTAAATGAACTTCAGCTTATTGGTCTGCGTAGCTGATTAATTCATGGCGAACGTTGCTCTTTTCAAAGTACAAAGTGGGTGACAATAACGGCACACCATTCAAGTCTGCCACGGATGCATGGTGATGAAAATTTCCAGAGGAATTTTACACGGAACAAGATTTTTTCTCGTCGGACTGGCCGAGGCGACAACCATCGGAATGAGGGCAGATAAAAAATGAATAAGTTGTTTCATATGCACAGTATGTTTTGACCCTCAACAAAATAATCGCTATATACTTTTGTACGTTGAAACTATAGAGTGCAGAAAAGTTATTTATTGTGTAAAACAACGTAACCAGCGGATGGATGGCGGCATGATATGGTAGACTCGTGCAACAAATGTCTTTGTGTTGGATTTCACTGATCTCAGATATTCAGGTTGCGAAAGGTGTACTTCTGAATGAACGAACGAAATAATAGCTGAAGAATGAATCAATCAATTATTTGATAAATGAACGATTGAAGGAAACAATGAATGGACGAATGTAAGGATGCAATCTTTGCTTTCCATACATTCCAGCAGATGGGAAACAGGTTTGATGAGGTCTATGAATGAATTAACCTTTTCGTAGCATTTTTTATTTTTACTGTACAATGCTCAAACGTTTATTGCTTGAGATTCTGTTGAAGAACGTGGTATATGAGCTTCATAATTGAACCCTACCTGCGAGGACTACGAGTGCCATTCAGTACAGAACGGAAGTACAGGAACTAAATAAGGATTTCGATTAAGGTGGCAATTTTCTGGTGTATTCTTCACAGGCTAATTTAAACAGCAACCCTTAATCAATCCGTCGCAAAAATTTTAAATAATATAATTTGCATTACCTTGCTAACCGGGTGGCGTGTGGTGATTGAAAACTTTTTATTGCTATATTTCAACTTTTCAAGATTGCCATATTTTCAGTTTTGCAGTTTTTCAATTTGTTACTTGTTCACCTTCCCGACGTGAACAGAGAAATTCAATTTTTTGGGTGCAAGTGCTGACGAAGACTAATAGCAATGAACTCCATGATACTAGCATGAAGAGACAGAAGCTGTACTACATCATCATTACTGGAGTTCTGCTAAACATAGGGTTCCTCATAATTTGAGGAAGATGCCTCAGAAAGCATCAAAGCAACGCTGACACGAAGGAATTAAGTACAGCTTCTTGCATTGCTCATGTCGTTTTAAACGTCCGATGGTACAGCGATACCGTCTAATGGGAGGTAGTTAGCGCTGAACGCCGGGACAACAACAAATCGACGGTATTTAGGGCTCTGGGAAGAAATACGAGATCCAATCACGAATCAGGTGATTTTTCCGCCCGGCGTTTCGCCTATGGTAAGCTCACCCCAACGCAGGATGACAGTATAAGCGTTGATGGTGATCTGACACAGGCTTGGTAATTGTCTTCACGCATGTCGTCAACACTACGTTCTGTTGAACGTTGCTCGTTATCTGACATTGAACAAACGCACCGAAGCGCAGAAGTCACTAATGATGACAGGCTCTTTGATTGTGATACAAAAACTCGCTATATAGGACATTTCGAGCAGGTTCTGAGACAGCTCGATACGGCCCCTTGACGGTGGCTGTAGCCAGTCTATTCTCCAGTTTAAAATTGCCATCGGGAAGCAGGCATTGAAAAGCAGTTGCCGAAACCGCGCTGGAGCGATGTCATTATTTATGCCCAATATTGGGGTTAAACAGTGCTAACCTCGCGCACCCCTCCTCTCTTCGGGGGACGGGTGGGGGGGGGGTTAAAATCGTCTGCGACAATCCGTTGTGGAGGGTTGACACAAAATTATAACCTGTTTTTTTTGACAGTACACACCAATCAGGCAGCGACTTTCGACTGTGCCATGAAGGACACATCACCGGCAGGGCAAAGCACGTGATTTAATGATCCGAAATTATGGGGTGATTGCAGAAAAGCGATTTTTTTGTTGAGACCACGTCAGCTTACAACCCGGCAGCTGCAATACGTGAGATATGGAGACTAGAGAACATGGCATAGCGTTTTCATACCTGCCACCGGTGGAGGCCATGCGTTTTGAAGGATCAGACAAAAAAACCATTTGGCAATGGCCAGGGTAATTTTGCATCGCGATTATCTATGAGTAAAAATCACCATTGACTATTCTTATCTCTTGGTGTTCCCTCAGGAAAGGGACTTTGATAATCTAGGAGGTTTTGCTAGCAAGACAAACCAGTGAAGGTCAAGTAATCATACTGTGGTATCGCACTTTCACTGCTGTTTGTACATGCCTTCGATCAGAGGACCAAAGGTGTGATTTTGGACACCATGTATCAGTAATTTAAATTTAATATTCCTCGGTAGAAGGCCAGAAGGTTGCCATTTGTGGTAACCACCCCAAAACACTGTGATTATCACCATCAGACTTCATGGAACCACTGCTGCATGAAGGCCTCTCCAAAACCTTGCCATAAACTTCTGTTCTTGACTCAGCGAACTCTTCACCTCACGCTGAGGGTCTGGATTTGAAAGTTTTTCTAACGGCCGTTAACTCGCTTTTCAAACAAGGTCTAATATCTCTCTCGCCCAGCCATAGTCGGTTT